ATTTTACAAGGTGAATATACATTGAGTGAAATTCTATAATGTCAGCAGCTGCCAAGGTCATACCTTCATCCCAGATCAGTAAAGATGTGCTGTTTACCATAGCACTGAAACCTATTATGGTTCAATCACCAACCCTCACAGAATGTAGTGTCCAGTCACCCATGTTTTGAAGATGTACAAGTTAACAATTACTGTATTAGAGTTTAGTCAGTCCTACATATGTATAAAGTCCCTAGCTCAACATTGTTGAACTAGTGACTAAAATACTGTTACCATCCATAGCATTACCTTAAGCTCCATGAGGATGATTTATGATATGCTACAATAAAATGATCCAAACAGTCTAATGTGTTTGCACAGTCAATAAAACACAAACGTGTTCCTGGTAATCTCTGCTTTCAGCTGAGATTCATCAGACATTAGCACTGACATTCCTTGTTCCTCATCCTTTTCTGAATCCAGCCTGAACCACTGGCAGTTCCCTGTCGATGTACTGCTGCAATCGCTGCTGGGTGATCTTAAGCAAAAATACACTTGCTTGTGATATCAATGATATTGTTCATTCTATGATATTGTGCATTCTATTGGGTCTCTTTTCTTTGGAATGGGGACAAATATTGATCTCTTCCAATCAATTGGACAAATGGCTGTCATCTGAGGATTGTACATGGTATGATCCAAACCTGAGAAGAGAATAATACCAGTGTCTAAATTCTACACATCTGGTTTATGGAACACTACGGGTGATGGAGTTAACCCCAAATTCATTTGCAGGGTCCCTGTGTGGATTGAGTCCTAATGCTCATAGACTAGGACAGTGAACAGCCCTAAGACCAAAGAGCATTGTAAATGGATTTTAGCAGCTGTGTTTAGGCTGCACTGTAACACCTGTCATTAGATCTCCCATTGGACCTATTGTGAAGTTATTCCAGATTTTTAATATTCTCTGTTTTCTCCTCAATTGGGGTCTTTCTCTGTTTATATGATCACTGTTGCTGGGTCCTTATTTTTTGTTTGCCCT